GCGCAGCGCGGGGAGGGGCAGGGGTGAGGGCGGCTGCACTGTCACGCGGAGGGGCAAGCATCCGTCACGCGGGCTCCGGTGGGCGATCCAAAGCCTTCGGCCTGAATGGCCGCCCGCCGGCCCGCTGCTTCCACCACAGCGCCCCCCCTCCAGCACAGCCCCAGTCATCATCCACCCACCCCAGCTCCTCAGCGAACGTGGAGCGCCCCAGCGCCAGGCAGTCGGAGGCGCCCATGCGAGTGAACACGCCGTCCAGCGGGCGCAGGCGGGCGGCGGCGGCGGGCACGTACGACCCCACCTGCGCCATGATGGCGATGAGGGCGCACTGCCTGCAGGAGAGGAGCAGGGGCAGGGCAGGGCAGGGCAGGGCAAAACAGACGGAGCGTGAGGGAGGCAGACGGAGGCGCGATGCCTGTTCCTGCCTGTTGCAGCGGGTGCGAGCAGCAAGCGCGCCGCCCGTTGTTGTGCGTGCCAGCAGGGTGCGCGTGCCTGGAGTAGCAGCTCTTCCCGCCCATGTTGGGTCCAGTGATAATCTGGCACCGCACCCCGTCCTCCTGCGCACACACACACACACACACACACACACACACACACACAGTGTCTCCGCAAAGTGTGGCCTTCACGGCCAGCAGGAGCAGGCGGCAGGTGCTGGCAGCCCTATGCCTGCCCCAGCCTGCCCCCAGCCATGGCCCCCTTGACCTTACTCACCCCCCCCCACACACACACACCTGCAGGTGCGTGTCGTTGGGCACAACCTGCTGGCCCCTGCCCTCCAGCAGCAGCTCCAGCACCGGGTGCCGCCCCGCCTCGATGTGCACCTGCGCCGCCTCGCCCTCGCCAGCCAGCTGGGGCCGGCAGTAGCTGCGGGGCACAGGGGTGGCGTGTGCAGGTGCCCAGGTCGCGCCAGGGGCACCCGGGGGGGCAGCACCGGGGTGCGCATTCTAGCCACAAACCCTGGCCGCCCATCCATCCGCTAGACCCACCCGGCCCGCCCCCTGCCCCTGCCCCTGCCCCTGCCCTGGCACCTCACCCCACGCTGGAGGCCAGGGTGGCCAGGCTGCACAGGCAGTCCAGGGCGGCTGCCGCCTGCACTGCGGCGCGGAAGCCCAGGTAGTGGGACCCAAAGTCCAGCAGGAACTGGCGCCAGGCGGCGTCGCAGGCGGCCTGCATTGAAAACAGGGGGCAGCAGGGCAGCTGGAGGCATGCCTCGGCGCCTCCATGCAGCAGGGGACACACAGGGCTGGCAGGCAGCGCAGGGGCACGAGTACGAAACCTACACAGGGCCCGGAGCCTCCCGCCACATGCCCCACACTGCCAAGCCGCGGCAGCTGCCTCCGGGCCTTCAGCTCCCCACCCCCACCTTCAAGTGCTCCCTGGCCAGCGCCAGGCGCTGCAGCCCTGCCGTGACCTCGGGAGGGTGGTACCGCACGCCCTTCTTCACGCTGCTGACCTGCAGGGCGAGGCAGGCGCCGGGCAGGCAGGCAGGCAGGCAGGCGCCAGCACCCTTCACCACCTGGCAGCAGGCGGCGCGCCAGGCCGCTGCGCCGCTCCCACCGTCGCCGCCGCATCACGCATCGCAGCTGGCTGGTGCATGGGACGGCCCCGCGGGGTGGGCCCACCTTCTGCCAGTCCTTGGGCACTCGCTTCACCAGGTCTGTAGGCACCTCCACCAGATACTCGCCTGGGGGGCAGGGAGGCAGGGGTGCGGCAGTGGAGGGGGCAGGCGCCAACATGACAGCAGGCATGGGCCAGGGGTGACACCCCTGGAAACGCCTGGCTGCCGGCCGCACCCCCCACCACCGCGCTGCCGCCCACCCTGGTTCTGCAGCGTCTGGAACTGGAGGGTGGAGATCTGCAGCGCGCGGCGGTACTGCGGCAGCAGGCCCTGCAGCGCGCGCTCCGCCGCCGCCGCCTCCTCCCGCCAGCGCAGCACCTCGGGGAACCGCTCGCTGGGCCTGCAGGAGGGGGAGGGATAGGGATGGGTGGGCGGGTGGGTGGGTGGGTGGGTGGGGGCCAGGTGAGGTCGCTGTCTGGGGCATGGAGGGCAACCCAGCGGAACCAAAGAAGGCGCCCCCCGGTGCCAGGCAATGGCCCCGTAGGCATCCTCCACCACAGCCCGCAAGCAACCCAGCAGCCGAGCGCAGGTCCCCCCTGGCGCCCTGGTGCCAAGCCTGGTGCCAAGGCGTGCCCCCCCCCCCAAATATCCTCACTTGAGTACGTTGGCCTTGTCGTTAGCTGCCGCAGCCTGCAGGTCCATGCAGTCCAGCATCTGCCGGGCAGCTGCCGCCACCGACGGGTCGGCGGCTGCCCGCAGCAGCTGGCGCAGCAGCTGCGACCGCACGCCCGGCAGGGCGACGGGAGGGGCGGCGGCGCCGCTGGCCCCGCCCTCGGCCTCGCTCCCGCCCCCGGCGGGCTGCGGTGACGCAGCTGCCACGGGACCAGCTCCCTCGCAGCAGCTGCCGCCGGTATCGCCGCTGGTGCCCGGCGCCGCCGCGCCGGCCCCCACCCCCAGCTGCTCCTGCAGCTGGCTGAACTGGTGCAGCAGGGCTGCGAGGTCTGAGGGGCGGATGGTGGCATGGAAGGCGCGGGTGATCCCCCGCTCCAAGTCTGGCAGCTTTCGCAGCGTGGACACCAGGCGGCACAACACCGGATGGTCCCCGCCTGCACGGGCCGGGGGACGGGTGGCAGAGGGCAGATGCCACACCAGCGGGTCGGCCGCAGCACGGGCTTGCAGCAGCTAGCAGCGGGCCCACGCGGGGACCTGCTGTGCCCCAGCTGCCTGCTGAATACCGCCGAGTCTGCCCCGGTGTACCGCACCCACACCCCTGTACCGCACCCACCCGCCTCCGCCAGCTCCTGCACCGCATCCAGCCGCGCCTCGATGGCGGCGCGCTGCCGCAGCGGCTTGCCCACCCAGCTGTGCAGCAGCCTGCGCCCAAACGCCGTCTGCAGAGGGGCAAGCGGGGCCGCGTGCCGGGCGTGACGGCGCAGCCAGCAAGCGGCAAGCAGCAGCTGGCAAGACCTCAGGGCCGAGGCTCGGCCGCCAGGCAGCCGCCCAGCCGGCAGTTCCAACCCAACCCCAGGCGTCCCCTGCCACCGCAGCAGGCCAGCTGCACCTTGGTGTGGTCCATCACGCTGACCAGGGAGCCCTTGGGGCTGCCATCCACGTTGCGGAAGATCTCCAGCTGCCTGCAGAGGGGGTGCATGCGTGTGGACAGCACAGCCAGCAGGATGGGCAGCAGCCATCAGCGCCCGCAGCATCGCCATCAGCACCCGCAGCAACGGCATCCGCAGCGGCGGCAGAAGCAGCAGGATGGGTGCCAGCAGCAGCAACGGCAGCAGCAGCAGGATGGGCAACAGCATGCCGCATGTTGCTCAAGCTGCTGCTGCCGGGCAACGGCATGCCGCTGTCGAGCAGCAGCATCACGCATGCCGTTGCCCGGCAGCAGAAGCATGAGCAACATGCAGCTTGCTGTTGCCCAACAGCAGCAGCTAGCAGCAGCTAGCAGCACGCCAATAGCAGCAGCCCGCATCCGCATCTGCATCCGCAGCCGCCGCCGCCGCCGCCGCCGCCGCCGCCGCCGCCGCAGCAGCAGCCGCAGCAGCAGCAGCAGCAGAGGCCCATCCCAGAGCCTCCTTGTGAGCAGGGCCCCCGCCGCCCGCCCACCTCAGCGTGTTGGCGCTCAGCCGCATCTCCTGCGCGCCGCTCCAGGGCTGGAAGCTGGCCCCCAGGCGCAGCACCGACTGGAGTCCAAAGGGGCGCAGGTAGTCCAGCAGGTGCGCCAGCGCGCGGGCCACCAGCGGCGGCAGCGCCCTCACCGCCTCCAGCGCGGCGGCGGGGGCGGGCTCGCCGCCGGTGCCGCCGCCGGGCGTCGAATCGCGGCGGCCGTAGAATGCCAGCACGGCGTCCAGAGCGGCGCCGGCCTGGCGGTACCTGGCGCCAGGCACCGCCTCCAGGCGCGGCGCGGCCCCCAGCTGCTGCCCGATGGCCCCCAGCAGGCGGCGCGTCTCTGCAGATGCCGGTTCCGCCAGTACCAGCTCAGCGGGCGCGGCAAACAGCAGCTTGCACTCCAGCTCCTGACGCAGCAGCCCGTCCCTGCGACGGAGGGCGGGCAGGCACGCGCGTGGCAGCTGTGTCAGCAGCCGGTACCGCTGGCAGACTGTGCTGCTGGCAGCCTGCCCAGCCGGCTCCCTGAATCCCAACCAACACATGCGCTTGCCCTGGAGCCCCCCGCCGCACCTGAACTGTGCATGCAGCACCGAGCCTGTGCTGGGCTCCACAGCCACCAGCCCCACATCCACTGCCTGTACCGCCGCCCCGCCGACATCCTGCACCGCCTCCTCCACGCAGCACACCAGGTAGCTGCTGGGCGCGGCCGGCTGGGCAGCCGCCTGCCGCCAGCGACGGCGCGGCGGGGCCGCCGGCGGGGCCGCCGCGCGGCTCGGCGAGCCAGGCGCGCCGCCCTGCTGCTCGTTGCCGCCTGCCGCCGCCGACGCAGCAGCTGCCGCCGCCTCGGGCTCCTCCTCGTCGCCATCCTCCTCCCCATCATCCGCCATGCCCCCGAGCTCTCCAGCCTGCACATGCGGGGGGGGCAGGCGCCAGGCTCAGCGACGCTCGAGAGGCGGGGCGAGGCGGGCCCCCATTGCTGGCTGATGTGGAATCACGGCAGGCAGAAGAGTGGCTGGGCTGTGCACATCGCACACTGTATCAGCTGTTGACACAGCGCAGCGCAGCGCAGCACACGTTCACAAGCATGGCACAGCATGGCACAGCACGGCACAGCGCGCAGCGCACCTCCAGCGTCGCCCGCGTGTACAGCGCCGTCAGCTGGCGCTCAAACGGCCCCGCCCTGTTGTCCCCCGCTTTCTTTATGGCTGCGGTCTCCACCTGGCGCACCACGCCCACCTGCGCCAGCCGCCACACACACACAACCCAACCCCGGCTCAGCAACCACACAGCACACAGAGGCCCAGGCAGCAGGAGCTCGCCAGCTTGCCCCATCCACACCCACACACACCCCGCTACCAACAACCGCAACAACAACCGCACACCATTCGTCCACACAGCACTGCAGCTCTTAACCCCCATCAGCCGACCTTGTGCCCCGCCTGCACCAGGCGCCGCACGTGCACGTGCAGGCGCAGCATCGGGAAGCCGGCGCACAGGAAGGCTCGGTCCTGGTACGCATACACGCCCAGCTCGCGCGAGGCTGCACGCAGCAGGGCAAGCGGGCGGCAGCGCGGTGCGTGTGTATAGAGGCAGGCTGCCGACAGCAGCGAGCGCGTCAAACAAACGCCAACGGCGTCCTGCCCATCGACGGCAGCAGCAGCGCCCTTTTGCCACTCACCCACTTCTGCGTCGTGCCCAAACATCTTCATCTTGTAGCCCACCTCGACGCACAGCAGGATGCCTGGGTGCTGCCGCTTGAGCGCCACAATCTGCTGCTCCAGGGGCGTCAGCTTGGGCGCCTCCCCGCCGCCGCCCGTCAGCTGCGGCGGCTCTATGGGCTGGGCCGCCCTGGCGACCGCGCCGCGCCGCTCCCCCACCAGCGCCAGCTTCTGCTGCATCGCCTCGCGGGCCTGGGCGGGGTCGCTGGCTGGCAGCGGCGCCCGCGGCGGCACGGGGCGTGGCGGCTCGGCGGCAGGCGGCGGCGACGGCTCAGAGCCTCCAGCCGTGCTGTCAGGTGGCGGCGGCGGCGGCTGCTGCTGCTGCTTTCGCTCCGTGCGCGGGCGCTTGGCTGGCGGGGAGCGAGGGGCCTCGCCGCCAGGGCTGCCCCCAGCGCCTCCAGGGAAGAACATTGTGATGGAGCGCTGGCCCCTGGAGGGCGCCCCCTGCTTCTTAGGCTTGGGGGCCATTCTTGCTGCTGCTCAGTTCAAAGGCAGGCGGCGGCCCACGGCCGCCACCGGGTCGGCTCGCCTGCGCTAGCCTCGGCGGCTCTGCTGCCCCGCGGGGGCCTCCACCTGGCTGGTGCGATATTTCTGCAGGCGTGTGCTGGCGTGGGAGGGCGCCCGTGAGTTCAATGTGATGTGATCCGCTGTGGAGTGGAAGCTCCCGTGTGAGGCAGTAGGAGGAGGGAATGGAACGTGCGCAGCGGCACCAGCGCGATGTGAAGATGGCTGTGGGGAATGGGAGAGGCAGCCGCCACGCTTTGCGGTGGCGGCAGCGCAGCGGGCAACTCCACGCCACGGCTGCCTTCACCCTGTTTGAGGCCACTTTTCTTAGCATCAACTGGAATCAGTCACTGATATGGTAATCTTGTTGGAGGTGGTAAGCGCACCACCCAACAGGGACATGGCCGTGGGAGCCGCAACCCGCTCCTCGCGGCCAAAACACCGACGCCGTCGGCATTGAGCAGGCCTGAGAGTCTGGTCAGTTCATGCAGTCACACCAGAACGGCTGCCAGGATGGTGGAGTACATCCATGCAGAGCTGTAATGATCGGCGGCGTGCGGCGCCCGCTGCGCCCTGCTGAGGTCTCCTCAGTTCTTACGCGCGCCCGTCCTGAGCTTCGCCGACATCCCGTTCGTTCTTCTCATGGCAATTGCCCGTGTCCCCGACGATACAGCACGCTTAGCTCCGCTATGTTGGCAGCACGCGTATCTTCGCCGCTCGCCTCGTCGCCCGCTTCTGTAGGCAGCCTTCACACTGCGATCCAGCAGCATAGCGCGCTGACGCGCGGAGCGGGCCTGCGGCTATCCACACCGCCTCACAGGGTTGCTCGCAGGTGGGCTCCCTGGTGGACTGCGTGCACGGCGGTTCCGGGAGTATGCAATTGAGCTGCCTGGGGGAAATCTGCCGCAGTCTGCGAGACGGCTGTGGCAGCAGCCGGCAGGGGCCGGATGCCCGACCTGCCCCGGCGACGCACCTGGCGCTGCTGGCGCCTGCTGCTGCTTGCCCATTCACCACACACCGCTCCCGCTCTCCCTTCCCTGCAGGTGCCTGGCGCAGCCCTGCCGCGCCTTTCTCAAGCCGAACAGCGCATGGTGGAAGGCACCCAAGCCGGCCAACTGCCGGCAGGTGGACTCGGTGCAGCAGCTGGTGGATGAGCTGGAAGAGAACCAGGAAAGGCTGGTTGTGGTGGAGTTCTACGCGTCGTGGTGCACCGGCTGCCGCTCCCTGTTCCCAAAGCTGCTGGCGCTAGCGGAGGAGACACCCTCGGTTCGCTTCCTGCTCGTTGACGCCGATGACAACAAAGCCATGGCACGCAAGCTGGGCGTGGATGGGCTGCCCACCGTGCTGCTCTTTGCCGGCCCCGAGGGGCGCGTGGAGCAGTTCAACGTCACATCCTCCCGCTTCCAGACGCTAAGGTGAGGGGTGGCATGGCGGGGCATTGTCGGGCAGGAGGGGGGGCGTGCCGGGCTTGTGATGGCATGCAAGTCAAGTGCCGGCTTGTGATGGCAATGCAATTCAAGCATGCACGGCACCTGCTCGCCCCTGCAGGGCGGCCATCGACCGCTGGAACGCTCCTCGCTGCTCGCTGGCGCATGTGCCGCCGCTGCCAGGCTTTGACGGCGTAAGGCCGCGCAGCCTGCAGGCGGACAAGCCGCGCACGCGTGCCATTGCCTGAACCAAGCATTGGCATGCTGCTGCTGCCCTCCCCAATCCACCCCCTGCCAACACAATACTTCAGCTGCGCTGCTGATGTGGACTGACCAGCCCCGGCGGTGCCTCAGCGCTGCTCTCGCCGGGGCAAGGCCGTGCTGCTTGCTGCAGCACATTTTAAGGCCCCCCTCCTTGCGCCTCTGATTTGACCACTCTCCCTGGCCTGTACCGCCCATGAAGCCCTTCCTGCATGTACAGGGCTGCGCTTGCTGCTGAGCTCACCTGCTAAGGCTTTCCCCTGCCCTTTGCCTGCCCCATTTCATCGCTTGTCCATTTTTCATTGTTTTTCCATTTTTGCTCCTCGAGCCTTCGATTGATCCTCCCTGCAGCGCTTGTTTCCCGCAGCTGTACACTTTAGCCTTGCCACCGCTGCCCTCACGTGGCCCAGCAGTTTTGACCATTCAACAGCCAACACCGCCACCCCTCCTCCGCCGGAGGCCGATTCTTGCACTGGACGCCATGCATACACAATGCCAGCCCGGTGCGGCTGATCCAGCACTCCCGTTTCATGTTGTTGCACTTGCCTAGCCATACTTTATCTGTCAATCACCAGCACTCAAAATTGGAAGACGACAAGTAAAACGACAAGCCCAACACTAGCTGCTGCGGTGGCGCCCAGCTGACGTCCAGCCCCCTTCAGTCATCCGCAGAGAGCTGCTGCGGCACCTGCCCTGCCTTGCGGCGCATCAGCTCAGCCTCCAGCTCCTCCACACTCATCGCCTCCACGGCACGAGGCTGCGCTGGCGCCGGCGCCGCCGGCGCGGGAGGCGGCGCCGCTGCCGCTGCAGCCGGCGCCGCGGCGCCCCAGGCGGCTGCCGCGGCCGCGGCCCGCTTCTGCTCGATGTCGGGATCTATCAGCGCCGCCTGGGCTGGGTCCAGGGGGGCGCGCTGCTGCATGCTGTCTGCCAGATCAGACAGCGCCGCGCCCTGTAGCAAGAGGCGCAGGTGCAGCCGGCGGTGATTAAGGTACAAGTACCAGAGAGGGAGCACGCCATCGCTGCCCACGATGAAAGTTGTGCAGCAAGCTCCCCCCCGCTCCGCCTCACCTGCTGCTGCGGCGTCTCGCCGTCGCTGCTGCTGGTGGCCGGCGCATCGGCGCGGGGAGGGCGCGGCGTGGGCACCGCCGGCCGCGTCAGCTCCTCCTTGATCTCGTTGAACCCGATCTCCTGCGCGAGGAGAGGCGAATGCGGGCGACAGCGATGGGGACGGCAGCGATGGGGGCGGCACTGTGGGCCCACAACACGGTCAGCCCAGGCCACAGCTGCAAGCAGGCACCTGCACTTGGCCATCACGGCGCAGCCAGCCACCCGGCTGCCCGCTGGCCAGCCCGCACAGCACGCTCGGGCGGGGGCTGCACCCTCCAGCCAGTCCCCAGCCCGCAGCCGCACCCCACCTGCTCCAGCGTGCTCTTCAGCTCCTGAGACACGCTGGTGATCTCGCGGATGGTGGGCGCAAAGGAGCGCAGCGTGGACCCCAAGCTCTTGGCCGCCTGCGCCAGCCCCTTGGGCCCAAACACCACCAGCGCCACCACCCCCACCAGGATGGCCTCGGGAGCGCCCACACCAAAGAACGACGCCTGCACCGGCTGCGCCGAGGCTGCAGAGCGGCGGCGGCCGGGCAGCTGGGGCAGCCCTGCGGCAGGTGCAGCAGCAAGGCAGGGTGAGCGGCGGGGTTAGGAGAGGTGGCCAAGGAGAGGTGCAGGTAACGAAGAGCGCCGCCACCGCTGCTGCCGAGCCCGCCGCCTGCCGCTGCGCCACCACACCAACATGGCTCCTCACCACACGCACCCAGAAGCTTGCTGTGCTCAATGCGGCGGCCCAGGTAGGCGCTGCCGGCCGAGTAGGCCCTTGCTGGCTGCCTGCTCAGCCGGGCATGGGGGCGGGAGGCCGAAAGCGACAGCTGCATGGTAGCTGTGAGGTGCATGGTGTGTACACGGCCTTGCCGGGACGGTGCACGACACGAGGGGAGGAGCTCGGCGGTGGCTCGATGGTATGCTGGGTGGAGGAGGCGAGCGCCTTCCTGCTGCGGACTGAGATCGATGCTGTATCAATGAGCGGCACATGCGCCAATGAGGCCCATTGGGTAGGCCCCCGCGTGCTCCGTGAAATGCCAGTCGGGCGCCATCCGCTAGGATAGGCCTGGCCATCAAGCAGCTCAAGCATCCACCCATCGCCTCTCGTGTTTGTTGACTCGTTCCATTGGCTTCAGCTTGCTGCCACGCGCCAGCAGCTTGTCCTCACCTCAGTCGCTTGCAGCCCCAGCTCCCAGGCGGCCTAGCGATACCAGACATGCAGGTGCAGGCACAGGTGTGTCAATTTACAGGGTCGTGACACCGGTTTCAAGGCGCGATCGGCAGATGGGGCCTGGCATTCAGCCCCTTGTGCAGCCACCTCCTGCCTGGCTCTGCACGCTCACTGGCCCCGGCTTCTGGCCCCCCTCCTGCGTCCCGCTGCAGATCAGCGGCTTTGCTGGCAGCCTGCGCGGCACCGCGGTGCAGCAGCGCGCCGCGGGCGGCAGCCGCGCCGCCGCGCCGCAGCTGGTGGTGCGCGCCGCGGGCACGCAGACAGCCACCAAGCGCCTCAAGGTGGCGCCCAAGCCCGCGCCGCCGCCGCCGCGCAAAACTGTGGCCGGCACCAAGAAGATCAAGGCCACCGTGAGCGGCACCGGCACCAAGAAGGTGGGCGGCACCAAGACGGTGGGCGGCACCAAGGCCGTCAAGGCCATTGAGGTCTTCTCCTCCGAGAAGACTTTCCGCCAGAAGCAGGACACCACGCGCGCCGCGCCCAAGGTCCTCAGGTGAGGGCCCCGCCAGCCGCGGGGCCTTGCACAGTGACCGCATGCATGCATGCATGCTGCGGCCATCGTCCGCCTTTGCCTCCCCGTCTGCTTGGCCAGCCGCCGAGCATGCGTGTTCCGTGTGCTGTACCCCGCGCCTGCGCCCGCAGCCGCATCCAGCAGCTCAAGCTGCTGTCCAAGCTGGAGCAGAGCGGGCTGCTGAGCCTGGCGGAGAAGAACGGCGTGACGCTGTCCAAGCTGGAGCAGAGCGGGCTGCTGTCGGCGGCGGAGAGCCTGGGCGTGGTGTCGCTCCTGGGCGACCGCAACTTCCCCGGCACCCTGTGAGTGCCGCCTGCAGCTGGGAGGCAGCCGGGCAGCCACACCCGGGCAGCTGGCGGCGCTGCCAGCCCCTGAAGGCCCGCCGGGCTGCAGGCCTTGCCCTGCTCCAGCCGGCCACACAGCTGCCCAGGGCTCATCTGTCTGCCTGCCCTGCCCTGGCCCCGTGCCGCAGCTATGCCCTGGCCACCGCCCTGCTGGTGGCGGGCCCCGCCTCAGTCTACTTCCTGCCCGACGACTCCACCGCCCTGGGTGGGTGCCCGCACCGTGCCCGCACCACACCACACCACGGCATGCCTGCTGCTGTTGATGCGACCACAGCAGCTGGCTGAGCTGGGCTGCATGGCTTGGATGGGCTGGGCTGGTGTGCAGGCAGGCCTCCACCTTGCCCTGCCAGCAGCCCAGCCACGCTTTGCGCCCCTCAACACCACGCGACTGACCGGCCTCCGCTGCCGGCACCTCCCCCCTATTGCTTGCTGCAGTGGCGGTGCAGGCGGTCATTGCCCTGTCCTGCATCGCGGGCGGCAGCGCGGCCTGGGGCGGCGCCACCCTGCTCTCCAGCCTGCAGAAGTCGTGAGCAGCGCAGGCCCCCACATGGTCGGCACGGCCTAGCGGCCTCGGCCAAGCATGCGAGTAGACGAGAAGAGCAGCTGTTGCCTTTGCCAACCCACGAGCTGTTCTCTACTGCTAACCCCTGTCCACCAAACGATTCATTCAGCGCGCAGAGGGTGCAGGCCGCACTCCTGGCCATTTGTACCGATGGGCGCCCCTGCCGTTGCCTCTCGCTCCTTTGATTGCTGCCGTCCCTCCTTTGATTCGCTGCCTTTCTCTCTCCCGCACAACCGGCCTTGTAATATCTCATCCTGCTTCTCTCAAGCTCGGGGAAAACTCAGTTCAGGCAACAAAGGCCGGGTGCGTCAGTCGGCAGGCGTGGGGGGCGGCGTCCCCGTGCCCAGCTCTCGCGCGCCCGCCTCGCCCTGGCGGGCTGCCAAGTCACACTCCAGCAGCGGCTGCAGCTGCTGGTAGACCTGTCGCAGGAGGGCGAGGCGGGGGCGCAGGCTGGGGAAGACAACCTCCACCTCGCCGCCCTCATCCCCTGCGATGCGCCGCCCCGCCGCCCCAATCAGCCGCCCTCCGCTACCGCCGTCGCCGCCTTTGTGTCCGCCGCTGCTGCCATTGCCGGCGCCGCCATTGCTCTGCGGCTTGAGGGCCAGGCCAATGTAGAAGTACACACTGGTGGGGGTCAGCTCCTGCACGCACAGGCAGGCAGCGGGTGCGGCGAGGCGCAGCTCAGGCTTGCACAGACACGCTGTTTGGCAAAACAGCCGGGCAGGCCGCCACGTGCTGCTGGCTGCCCAGCACAAGGCCACACCGGGCTCCCCACACACCATGACCTCGCTGCTGTGCATGACAACACAAAGGCCGAGCGCACGGCGGCAGGCGGCCCGCGGCGCTTGCCTCGTGGATGATGATGCCCTGCAGCTGGCGCAGCGGCAGGAAGCGCGAGCCGCTCCACAGCCCGCACCGCCGTCTGGTGGTCAGCTGCACGCCCAGCAGCCGCACATAGACGAGCGACTCGTGCTGCACCGCCAGCATGATGCGTAGCAGTGCGGAGGAGGCGGCAGAGCCCAAGCCCAGCAGCAGCGCCAGGCGCCAGCCGGCTCCCAGGCAGAGGGCGGGCTGCGGGGGAGGAGGATGAGTGCACAGTGGGTTCGGGTGCGATGCAGAAGAGAAAGCAAGCCGTTGCCACGACACCACGTGCTCCTCCCGCCTGCGCACCGCCCGCGCCTGGCGTCGCGCCCTGCACCCCGCCAGCCCCAAGCCTTCCCGGCATCCAAATGACCTCCCGGCTCACCAGCCCGATCAGCAGGAGCCCAGCCAGGTCGATCAGCAGGTTTGCAAGGGTGAATGGCGAGACAGATATGCGCCATTCCACGCTCCCAGCCCCGTGGGGGATGACACTCAGGGTGTATATTGGATACATGCTTGTTTTGATGCATGGCAGCCGCTGCTCGCTCAAGGACCAGTGCCTAGACGCCAGCAGGGCAGCCGCCATGCGATGCGGCAGCCTCTCTCCTGACGCTTTCGCATCGAGACCAGGTCTTCTCTGTTGCAGCCTTATTGCACCCCTCCTGCAGGCCTGCCTCGCTCGCTCCTTGCCATCAAGCTGAGACCCAGCCCATTCCCGCCTCCAACTTGGGAGACTTGAGCGGGACCTGAACGACATGGCGCCCAAGAAAGCTGCAGCGCAGGTCTGTGCGCCACCATCGGGCAGCATGCGGCCTTCTTGCGAGTTTAGGCCGGGGGCTCGAGGGGCGGGCCTGCAACAGCGTGGAGCCTCACAGCCGCGCCCTGGGGCTCGCTGCGGCCGGGCTGCTCCCGCCAGCAGCTGCCGCGGTCCGACGGCGGCAACGTGGGCGGCGGGGGCAGCGGGGCGCACAGCTGGCTCTGCGCCCTGCCTGGGGCTTCAACCGAGGGCCCTTGCTGGCCACCGCATTGATGCTCCGGATGGCAGCCTCGCCGCGCCTCGGCTGCTCCCTCACCCACTCACTTTGTCCAGAAGCTGCCGCCCCTCTCACCCGCGGCACTTGTGAACCGTCGGCCCCAACCGCACCCGCCTGCTGCAGGACAAGGCGAAGCAGAAGGTGAAGGAGAAGAGCGTGGAGGACAAGACGTTTGGGCTGAAGAACAAGGGGAAGAGCGCCAAGGTGCAGAAGTATGTGCAGCAGCTGCAGAAGAGCGCGCAGCCGCAGAAGAACCCGCGGCTGGAGGAGCCGTCGCGCAAGGTGACGCCCGCGCGCGGTGGCGCCGCCGCCTGCCGATGCCATGCTGCTGGTGTTGGCTGTTGGATGTGGGGATGCATGCCGGCACGCCTTCGGTGCATGCGTGTGTTGGTGTGCCGCCTACCCGCGCCGCCCGCGCACGCCCTGCGCCCGGCAGGACAAGAAGCGCGCAGAGGAGGAGCGGCAGAAGGAGCTGAACGAGCTGTTTGCCATGGCCATCAAGCAGCCCAAGGTGCCCCCAGGTGATCCCCAGAGCCAGGCAGGCGCGGCACGGTACGGCACGGCTGGTGCTGGCCAGCCAGCCAGTTTGGACACGCTCCGGCGCCAGTTACCCCCTGCCAGCTGCCGGGCCCTGCCGCCGCGCCTGCGTGCGTGCCTGTGGCCCGTCCACCCACCTCCCCACCCCTGACCCCTCCCCTCAACACCTCCCATGCCCCACCCCGCCGCCCCCAGGCGTGGACCCCAAGAGCATCCTGTGCGAGTTCCACCGCCACGGCCAGTGCACCAAGGGCTTCAAGTGCAAGTTCTCTCACGATCTCGCCATCGAGCGCAAGACGCAGAAGGCAGACCTGTTCTCGGACAGGTGTGTGTGTGTGTGTGTGTGTGTGTGTGTGTGTGTGGTGGTGGTGGTGGCGGCGGCGGCGGCGGTGGTGGTGGTGGTGGTGGTGGTGACTTGAGAGGTATCCCTATGTGTGGCATGTGCGCGACCATAGTGGAGGCGTGACCGGCCTGGCCTGCATCAACATCTGTCCGCACAGGCGTGATGGCGAGGGGGAGGAGGGGGAGGAGGGCATGGCTGAGTGGGACCAGGAGACGCTGGAGAAGGCCATTGCACGTGAGTGGCGGGCCGGCCTCCGCCTCCAACGCACGCGCAGCTGGGCTGGGCGGCTGCGGAACGCGGCTGGCGTAGATGGGAGTAGATGAGAGGCCGACTCGTGGCCCGACACGCCTGCGGGGCTCGCTCGTGTGCGTTTGCCTGCATCCCTGGCGCCCACCCGGCGCCTCCGCCCGCCACCCCGCCTCCCTCCTCCCTCCCCGCTCCCCGCCTGCCTGCAGAGAAGCACAGCCTGGAGAACAAGAACCGCGCCACCGCCATCATCTGCAAGTTCTTCTTGGACGCGGTGGAGAAGAAGCAGTACGGCTGGTTCTGGCAGGTGCCCGGCAGCTTCCCGGGCCGGGGCGGCGCCCGGGGCGTGGTGCCAGCTGGCCGTCGCTGCCGCATGCATGCGCCAGGCTTGGACGGCCGCCAACTCTCCACACCTGGGTCCCGCCTTGCCCCGTCCTGCCCTGCTCCACCCCCGCCGCTCCCCGTCCCGCCCCGCGCAGTGCCCCAACGGCAAGGACTGCAAGTACCGCCACGCTCTGCCGCCCGGGTATGTGCTGAAGAGCCAGATGAAGGAGCTGCTGGAGCTGGAGGCGGCCAACGTGAGGCAGGGGAGGGGGTGCGGGGAGGGTGGGGTGGGTGGGCAGTGGGGCTGGCTGGCGGCACACTGGCAGCCGGCAGGCTGGGGGGCTTGTGGCGGGGGCAGCGCGGGCGGAGGTAGCGCTTGCGGCGGCAGCAGGGGTGCGAGGGTGGC